TTCTCACCCACTAAGAATTCCTTCTTTCTACTGTTGTGAGAGGGAAAAGTAATGACCACACTACTTTAAATACTAAGCAGGAAAAACAGTGCATCTCAGGAAGTATTTAATCTAAGCTTTACCTGCTGTTTTATGGAAATTTATATGGAATAAACCAGTCCTACTTCCTCTCTTTTGTCTCCATGGCTGGTGAGCTTATGCCCTTCTCCCACCCACATTTCTCATTAAAACTGAGAATAGGGGAGAAATGGCAGCTAAACTTTGAAGGAGACATTAACATGCCAAGTGTTTTCTTTGTACACACATCACAAGGACACAAATAGGATCAAACTAAATGTCCAGTCTCTTGAAGTTATTTCTCTCCCATAAGAAAAGTCACTAATTTATGCATAATAAAGATACCATAAAATGTTACCTTCATTTAAAACTACTGGAAGAAATTCCAAGAGAGAAGAAACCAAACCCATTGAAGGCTCCAGCCTAGTAGAAAATTTGCATTAGCTACAGGCTATCATGTAAATATACAAGCTACAGGATTAATCACTAGCAGTAAACAAATATTTAAAGAGAAGCTTTCACACAGCACTTGCATGGCAAGAAATTAGCTATAAAAACCAATTATGCATCATTATCATCTGACAGTATGAATCCAGGAGATTCATCTCAGGAAACACAAAGCCAGCATCTAGTCAAGTGCAAAGACCTGATTCTGCAATTGATAGCCTGGCCAGGGACACACTTCTCACAGGTCACTTACCCCATCCTCTTGGGAAGGAAAAAAGGAATCTTAAAGTCACAATAAGACAGAAAAGAAAGCCAGTCCTTGAAAATCATTGAAAAATAAGCTCTGACCTGTAAATTATGAAAAAAAAAAATATTCATAGAAAGATTAAAGCTTATCCCACTGTGAACTACCACACTCTACCTGAGACCAGGTTTGTGTTGTGGTAAATGGAAGAATTTAGACTGCAGTGAAATGTGGTGTAGCTCCATTAATGCTCAATATTCAGGTTTCTGGTGTTTCAAGGGAAGATTGAGCAGAAGTGGATTCCTAGTTCATACAAAACTAAAGTATTTTACTGTAGTGAGTGTATTAATACTAGGTCAGGTCAGCTCAGCCAAGAAATAAGTTTGTTTAATTAGATTCAAAGTAACTGAAATCTAGTGGAAAATCTCACTCAATCTGTTTTTTGGAAAGAGTTTCTACTCAGCCTGAAAATAAATCTGTTACAAAAACAATTTTTAGATATTTCTTTCTTGAGGGAGGTGTTATTTTATTTAGCTTAGCATTTGTTCAGAACAATAGGGATTTAATACTTAAAAGAATAATCTAGGACATGAGTAGATAAAACTAATATACAAAAACTGATATTACATCATTATTCCATTAATTACAAGAGTTATTAGAATGGCATCTACGTTCTTTGAGTAGCCTTGGATGTCTCATCAATGAGGTTTTTGTTCCTTTTTAGAGAAGAGGGCAATATTAAATTGGAGATGTTTGTGTACAATAACAGATTAAGACAAAATTCAAAAGACCAGATGGATCTGTGGATCTAGGAAGAAGCAAGAATAAATCCTCAAGAGATGCTTTTTTCAAAGATACCTGCAAACAAGCTTGGGACCTTGTGTGACATATTTTATTAGTGTGAAACAGATATGAAAAAAGTTAAATTCATTTTAAAGTTTAAAAGTTTACCTTACTGCTGGTTTTCTTTATGAAACACAATTACCATAGCAGGCCTCTCAGTGAATTCCTGGTGGCGTCACCAGCAAGAGATATTGACAGAGAATCTTACAAGGAAATTCCATAACACGCCCCTCTTACGACTCACCAATAGTTTCCACTAGACAAACAGGTCAGGAAGCAAGACTGGAAGCTCAAGCCAGGGGGATGAGCTGAAGCTACCCCTGGCAACCAAGGAAATGGCAGCACCACGACTTTTTTTCACCCAGTGATGGATGAACAGCTGCAGCCAGCACTACATGGAGAGGCAGACAGAGGGAAGCATTCAAGGCTGCAGCACAGACCAGCCCAGCTCTTACAGATTCAAGAGTGTCAAATCAACCTCCAAGGTAGATTTAGATCAAAGGTGAAATCTTCCAGACTTGCAGAGAGAAAAAGAGGAAGTAGTGCCTGGTCTTTCTCCCAGAGCAGCAAAAATCCCTTTCTTATTTTCTTAATTTTCCATATTCAGTCCTTCACTGCTTTATCTTCTATTCTTCCTGCTAAGCGGGCTACCTTTTCATAGTCCCCTTATTGTCATGTTGCCCCCTTAGGCAACAAGAAGCACCTGTTAACTTAGAAAACATCTCTGCACTTGTACTTCACCCAAGTATCTTGGAAACAGCTTCACATCTCTACCAAAGAAAGCTTCTGTTCTTCTTAGTTGCTGCTAGCTATGATCTCCTCCTGCTTTCTTCAAAACTTATCTTCAGCCAAGTGCACTGTATTTCATTGCTGCTGCTTCTGGTTATATATTGTTTAGATTTCTTTCTTGGTAACTCTGTGAATTAGCTGGCTATTTTTCATTATTTCTGTGGGGCCATGGGGAGAAAAAACAAGCAATTCCTTTACTTGAGAATTCTCCTGTTTATTAGGATAGTAAAACTCTCAGAAGGAATTGCAGTTTTCCAAGTAATATAATTTGCAGGGGAACTTACAAGGGCTTTATTTTAAAGCTAGGTAAAACTTAGAGTGAGAAATGGATGGAATTCAAATAAGGAATTAGAAAATTAGATTAGGAAATGTGCTCCAAAGTGAAAATAATGTTAATTACATTGCAAGAGGCCACATAAGCTAAAGAGCTATTATTTCCAGGCCTTTATAATGGCTGAACAAAACACAAGCAGTTGCTGGGAACTGTGTTAGTAGGACTAAATAGGTGTATTATTATCAACTTCTGAATGGGAATTGCATGTGGAACAAGTTCTTCAATATTCTGTCTATAAACATTCTATAAACATTCACAGCATTGTGTTGAGTAATCTTCAAAAAACTTTGGAATTTGCATGTCTTCTGGCATGCCTAGCACCTTTCCCAGAGAAAAGGTAGCATTTCATGTTTGGGTTTTTTGTGTTTTTTGTTTTTTTGTTTTGTTTTGTTTTGTTTTGTTTTGTTTTTTTTGTTATTCTTGGTTTTTGGGGGGAGTTTCTTCAGAGCCAGTCTGTAAAGACGCCTAGTTGTCTAAATCTATACAATCACCGACTGCTTTCTGGCCTCAGAGGTTAAGTTTATATTTTTTATAATTTTAAACGTCCCTTTCCATTCTCCTTTAAGTAGAGGTCCAGTTGCTCCATGAAAAAACTGCAGTTGTAAATAACCTGAGGCTGAGGTGGTTCTTGGGATGCCTCTGAGGGAGGGAGAAAGTGCAAAGCTGGTTTCTCAGAAAAAGCAGACCTTTCTTGCCTTTTCCTTATTTGCTGTGTCCTGACTTCCTTTGTTCTGAGGTGCTAACAGTAACTACTTAAAACCTCCTGAGTCAATGTGCCAAGTGATTAATAGAGAAGGTGCCCAGCTGTCTCTGTGGGAAGTTCAATAGAATTTTCTTTTCATGGGTCACAAACATTGATGGATTAAATCACACAAAACCCAGTGTTAACAGAAGAAAAAGCTCCTGACCAAGAATGAAACTTATGTGCAAAAATCTTTAATATGAGCTAGCCGTAAAATTAATGATAAAAAAGTACTGCTATTACTACGAAAAGAATTTACTGCTGTAGCACCTTAAATGTTTAGTGTACTTTATTGCCTTAGACAAGACAAGGTTCTTTTCCTGGTTGATTTTACCATCTAGATCAGTCAGAGTACAGAAGGTACAGTGAGTCAAGAGTTAAACAACTGCTTGAGGAGAAAGAGATTTACAGGAGATTCAGCAGGAGTCTACACCAGGATTTTGAAGAGAACCCTACAAGGCTCAGAGACTTCCCAAAGAAGCAGCTTATACAAATATGCTCAGTGTGTCTTTCCTGTGTGTACTGTGATGAGATTTTATTATTTTTCTAGTCCAAGCACTAAGCAACTACTCCATAGAGCTAGGCTTCTGGTCTATTTTCATGGGATTAATATTTATAGCAAATGGATCAGGAACACATTGTGTGCATCTTGGTTTTGCACATAAAATAGCATGATGGTAATGTACTTAGCTGTATCTTTTCTGTGTATAAATATACCAGTCCCACCTTCTCTCACAACTTGGATAAGGAATGTACCCAGTCCTATAGCAATGTAAAGCTAGCAATATCCA